GTAGGCAACCGGAGTTGCAAATGAAGCCTGGGATTTGAATTTCCTGGGCTTCATTTGCATCTCACCGGGCGCCGCCATTTTTAAATGTCCGCTAGTGCGGACTCCGTGCCGCGCAGCTACACGCGGCACGGACTAGGTAGTTCGGACTAGGCTTCCTATTCCGTTTCACGAGGAGTAATGGTAGATCAGAATAGGAAGCCTAGTCCGGACAAAACGCTAATTCGAACTAGTTTTTTAGTCTGGATCCCTTAGTTCAAATTAGCTTAGTTCGAATGAACGGGGTAGTGTAGACATACCCTTAGACAATATCTACACTGCACAGTTATTTTAGAATAAGCTATTCCAGAATAGTTATATGAAATAGATTATTTCAAAATAGCATGTCTACACTGCAGGGAAGCCTCAAAATTAGTCCAAGGCAGCCTTCCCTAATGTTGACATGCTATCTCGATTTAGAGTCCCAGGAGGAATAACTTAGAATGCCTCTGGTAAGGGGCTATTTTGAAATAGCATAAGTGGAGCATCTACACATGCCTTATTTCAAAATAGCTATTTTGTAATAGGCATTGTTCTTTGTAGAATGAGGTTTACAGAAGTCGGAATAATCTGCTCATTATTTCAAAATTATTTCAAAATAACGGAATTGCTGTGTAGACACTTGCATAGTTATTTTGGAATAACAGCCATTATTCCAAAATAACTTTGCTGTGTAGACACACCCTAACAGAAGTTCCGTTGAGCAGAATATTGTAGGATGGGCCCATAAAGAACCAGCAGTTTGAGGCCAGAAGGGTGAAGCATTTACTACCTGAGAGAAGGGAGGATATTTGGGGCTATATAGTTAAATAGTACACAGTTGTGCCCTGGAAGAAGTGTGTTTAGGCTAAAAAATGAGGGGTTGAGGTGGTTAAAGATAGAGCAGAGAGATAAGATGGAGTTTTGGGAGCAAAATACCAAAGTTGCTAGACATAGGGTCCCTAGAGCTAGAGTATTGGGCTGGCCAAAGTAGGGGATTTTAACCCTCTACCAGTCCCTGGGAAGGAAGCACAGAACCTATCGTAAGACTGGAAAACTGTCTAGAATGGCATGAGGATAGCTGATCTAGTGGGACTTTGATACCCCCAAAGGGGAAACCCTTTCAGCAACCTGACTGGATGGCCAAGTCACGAAAAAGGAGCATACTTAGTCCCAGAGAGCACAAAAAGCTGCCATGAGATCAAATGACAGAAAGAGGGATCTGATCTGAATGGAGCTAAACCCTAGTGGTAAGTGAACCCCATTACATGTTGTCTTTTTAATAATACACTATGGCATGGATTCATTTTGGGGGGGGAAAGTGTCCTCAAATATAAACAAACAGTGTCACAGTGGAGATTTTTAAAACAATGAAAAAAGTAAAATCTTAACATCACTTTTGAAAAAGCCATGGTATCAATTTAACAATGGAAATGTCGAGCTCCGGAAAACAGGATTCCTGAAGGTTAATTCAAAAGAACAATACCTGCTATTGGACCATAGAACAATAATGATTGTGAATTGTTCTAACCATTTTCACAGTATTTAATTTTGTCAACCTCTGTTAAGTTCCTGACCAGCACACAATTACACACAGTTAAATCTACACATTTATAATTCTATTTAAAGCAATAGGTTAACTCACAGAAGTAAACTTAAGACTGTGTGTAAATTTCTGCAGGGTCTGGCCTAAGCAATTTATTAGTGCTCACAAAATTATATGCACCTTTAAAAAGAGCAAGAGGGTAATACATGCATTCTTAAAATCAGATTTCACTGAAGCAGCTATGCTATATTATCATTAAGGCTCCATTTTACTGTGGGGTATTTTTAGTAAAATTAATGGACAGGTCACAGGCAGTAGACTAGAAATTCATGGCCCATGACCTGTAAATTACTTTTACTGCATACTCCTGACTAAATCTTTGGCCCTCTGGGTCACAGAGGCCTGGAAAGTCATAGAATCCATGACCTCCATGACAGACTTGCAGCCTTAATTATCCTTTTACATGTTGACAGCTCCTTAAAATCAGAGCTATTTGATATCCTTTCCTATTCCAACCCTTCTCCTGTGATACGGTGGGAAATAAAGACGTGTCAGTCCCAGTGCTGTGGCCCAAAACTACTGGGGAGAGGAGCATTGAGCCAGCGACATCTTCACTTTCTCTCTGTAACCATGAAAGCCCCTCAGATGGCAACCTTGGATGGTTCAAACTGAGATTGATCCACTGTGCTGGTGTCACCAAGTGGAGGAAGGTATGGTGCTACTATGCTGCAATATCAATTTCTTGGCAGCAACACAAAAAAGTTCTCATGGAAGTGAATGTGAAATCTTTCAGCATTATTGCAACTATGCAGGCACTTCTATGTGCAGTCAGTGGTGAGCATGGAAGAATCAGGGATTTGGCAAGCTCTGACAGGCACCCAAACCTGTGAGGAATCGTAATGGTAATACAGCTACAAAAGGAGTCATCAAGCCAGCACTAGACCCATGGGTTAGAGCAGATGCCCAGTCCTCAGTATGGATGAAGGACCTTGTCCACAGACTTCTCTGGCTGGAAATCCTTAACACCTGTTATATTAGACATGTTGGACTGTGAATTCAGAATGTCTCATGTAACATTGCCCTTCTGATGGATTTTTCCACTAGAAGGGAAAATATAGCCCTCCGGATCCTGAGCTCAGAGTGGAATGAAAGCTGAGTCTCTTTGAGTCAGAAGTACAACCTATGAAACCACTCTTTCACTGTTGTTCTGAAATAGCTATGTTAGAAAAGTATGCAGTTTCACTCTAAATATGTGCAGTCATCTTTACTTCAGATACCAGAAGACAGTGCTCTTCTCCCCCCACCCCCCACCCCCAAAAAATGGAAGGATGTATTATGAAATGTATATGTCAATATAGGAATTAGAGACTGACACTCAGGCTCGTTAGTCCTCATACAGGATGACACAACTCCCTCAAAATTTTCCTGGAAGCTTATCTCCCACTTTATTCCCAATGCATTTTCATAATAAAGCAGGCCTCTAGGGTTTTAGCATACATTATAGAGTTACATATTGTAAGAACTCCTGAAAAGAACCCTTAGAGATAGTAAGAATAAAATAGGCAAATATATAGTAGATGTGACCTGTGTAATGCAAAGCAGAGCAATTTTGGGGACTTTTTGGAGTGAAGTGATCATGGTTGCTGCCGTTGGTTGTGTGTGTGTGTGTGTGTGTGTGTGACTCTACCTACTGGGACCAGTTATTTCAACTGAATTCTAGTGTTACTGATACCCCAATCTCCTTTTGGTTAAGGAACCCTTTCCAACTTTAATGATGGCAAATTAGTATTAATGGTTAGATTCTGAGAGAGATAGTGAAGATGAGTTGATCTTGTGGGATTCCGTGCATACCAGGAACCTTTCACAGCTTGGACAGACAAAAAGATTATTCCAAAGACTGCACTCCCTCTAATCTTGGCTACATCCCTTTCATCTGAAAATAATCCAGATCCTACTTACTTTCCTTATGTGAACAGTTGCATTAAATTACTAAGATTAAATACTTAACAAGCCACTGAAATCAATGGCCAAATTCCCATTGACTTCAATAATGGACTTTGGATAGGAATAATGGAATTTGGATGGATGAGATTTGGCCCAAACCTCCACCTGCTAGATTTCAACTGTTTTGGATTCATTAAGAAACTATCCTGTAACTTCAATAAGGAGCATTTGGAAAACATTTGCATCACAAAAATAAGTAATCACATTAATTGTTTCTGTGGAGATAATACTAGCAAGCTACCCAGTAATAATGACATTTTACAAATCAATTAGTGGCATACTTGTATTCTAATTCATATAAATAATACTCTAGGAAAAAAATCTTACCCCAAAATTTTGATGGCCATGTGATCTCCAAATAAGTACTGTTTTTATCCATACCATCCAAAATAACTGCGAAACCGGTATATCCACAATGAAGCACCAGATT